ATGAGATGTATTGTATTAGGTTTTGAACTTCACTCATGAGTTTTGCTTCAAATGGATGATTTTGATTGAGCATAGAGTATGATATCCACTTAGAGTACAAGTCTTACAATAGTTGATGTTTACATGAAAACAAAATTTCCTAGCTAAAAATGCTAGTAGTGACAAAGACCTTGGAGGGTTTCCACGACATCCTTATATGTTTGTATGTATGGTTTATATGGTAGTTGGGCTAAGACCATGTGGGGGTTCCCATGGCACCCGGAGTAAGACCCTGGAGGGTTTCCAGGGCATCCCTATATGTTTATATATGCATGACTTGTGTAGTTGATACAGTTTGTGTGATTATGTGTGTAGGACCTTGGAGGGTTTCCATGACATCCTTATATGTGCATACGCAAGGCTTATGTGATTGATATGGTTTATGTACCTGATATAGCTAATATGGATTATGTGGCTATGTGGATTATGTGGGGTATGCTCTGGGGAACTCACTAAGCTTCATGTTTACAGTTTTTTATGGTTTCAGGTATCATTGGTCTGGAAAGGAAGGGCCCAGCTTGATCGCAACACACACACCCGTGTTTTCCGCAATATTCGATTTTTGGGATGAACTCTGATAAATGTTTTTAATTAGCAATGTTTTGGAAAGCTTGGATTTAAAAGATCTATGTGTTTTGACTGTATTGAAAAATGAAATTTTTACCCTTGATTTTTGGGTCGTTACAAAATGGTTTTCTTAAATAATGAATTAATAAACCGAGAAGTTTTACCTTAATAAAAATGAAAATTTTGGTTGTGAAAATGGGATGTTACATACACCCGGCGTATGCCACCTTTGGCTAATACGCGCTGCGCACGAGCTGGGTACGCGCAACTTACTCCACAACAGCCCAATCTCAGCATTAAGTGCTTAATTGGTTAAGCCACTAAGTCCACTTCTCACATCAGATCTTAAATGATATCTTAACACATAAAGTTGGCAAATTTACTCCTTTTCATGTCTTAATGGGACCCACTACTTGTTTTTGACCATTAAAACCCATAATAAGAGCCCTAACTCATGCATGGTCCAATATAACACATCAAGATTGCATTTTTATGCACAAGGAACCTCAAAAATGCTAAGATCTACCATCCATAGCTTCTGGAGTAGCTCATACTCTCAAGCATGACTTAAGGGACCATAAAATGCATAAAAACAAGCCCTAGCAAGATCTATAATAGTGAACCATCAAGTTAAGAGCTTTATACCTCCAAAAGCTTTCCATGTTGGTGATGATTTTGGATCCACAAGCTCCAACCACACCAATGCAACTTCCAAGAGCTCCTCTTCCTTCAAGATCACCAAAAACACTCTCAAAGATCACTTCCAAGCCCAAAACACTCAAAAGGAAATTAGGGTTTCGTTCTCAGGGTTTGGAGAGGTGGAGGCTGGTCATACGAAGGTGCAAGAGCAACTTAAGGTGTTTAAATAGGGTTTGTCCCAGGTGACCGTACGCCTAACTTTTGTGTGTGTCAATTTAGGAGATGGCTATAACCTCAGAGAAGGATTTGAACTTGGATGAGTTACCAAAGTGCGTAGTTATACTTGGCGGAGGGTGAGTTGACCATTTTACCCTTTCCATCCTTAAATTAATGTACTTTTTAGTTTATCAGCCTCGTGAGATGACTAAAATTTTATATTGGGTCAGGTATATTGTTGTTGAGTCTGCCTCAATTTGGCGTGGGATGGGTTTTACTGTGAATCTATGCTTTAGAAAGGAACTTCCATTAAGGTTATATATAAAGCTTTATGAATTCTTCCTGTTTGAATATTTGGTTTTAGGCAAAAAAAAAAAAAAAAATTACTTGTACTTTCACAGCTTAACTATTTTATTGATTTAGCCACTTAATTACTTTCTATAGTGATTAAACCATTATATTCTTTTTACTGTTAAAAAAATACCATTATATCTGTTTGATGCAGTTGTTAGACCATTGTTCTTTTTACCGTTTAAAAAGACCATTTTTCCTAGTTATCAAGTTTTGTTATTAGGGTAAAAAAAAACAGAAAAAAACATGATTCACTTTCACTAATTTATCAATTTAGTCATTGAACTATATTTTTCTTCTCGATTATATGAGTGGATTGTTATATTTTATGATATATTTTTTACCAACACACATGTTTATGGTTGGATAGTGAATATGTGCTTGTGATAAATCACATTCTGAACTTATCAAAATGGTTAGAAAAACACAAGAGAATTCATATCATGTGTAATAATTTTTTTACAACGGCTAACACACAACAACTCGTCTCCAATATGTAAGATAAAACTTGTAAGTAGCCGTTCTAAAAAAAACTATTACACATGATATGAATTCTCTTGTGTTTTTCTCACGATTTTGATATGTCCGGAATGTGATTCATCACAAGAACATATTCACTATCCAACCATAAACATGTGTGTTGGTAAAAAAGTATATCTTAAATTATAAAAATCCACACATATAATATTGTATATTTGATTTTTCCCATTTTTAACTGTTCTAGATTGTATTGGTAAACAATTGTACGTGTTTCTCTACCTTTTAGAAATAAAACAGATAGTCTATGTTTGATGCCAGGAATATTGAGAATGTTGTTTTATCATCCAATGTTTGACCTAAGGAACCTAAGGAATCCCTAGGTCATAACTTTGATCTCACTGTAGTAACAGTTTTGATACATAAATGCGTGTAATTGAGTTTATATATGAATGATAACGAGTTAATATTTTTTGCTCTGATAGTAAAGAAATGAATTTTGTGAAAAGTTTTTCATTTTGCATATATAAGCATTTGATTAACATACTTACTAGTTATTACAACAACAAATAAATTAACCACAAAGCCAAAAAAACCCGCTAGCCAATTAACTAATCACTGAGTGTTTCTTTATAGGATGTCACTATCATGATGTCGTGGAAGGAGAATCTAACAAATGACACATTACATGAAATTTAAAAAAAAAAGATATGAAAAAGAATAATGATCTGATTTTTTTTTGAAGAATTTGCTTGCTTGACTAAAGCAGATATAATATCAGTTTTTAAAAAGCGTGAATTCCAAAAAAGTCTTTAATTGGACAAAATTTAGTATGAGCAACTGTGCATTGATGATAAAACTTAACTGATCAGATTGGTGAATTTTATAAATATTCTCTTACTACTTTATTCAACCGTACTAAAAAATAAAATTGTTTGACTATCACTTAATATTTAATAACATTCAAGTTTCATGCCTAATGACGGTTAATAAAATCAGTTGTGGCCGATTGAAAGCTTAAAAGGTCGAGCCTGAAGATTCAACGTTTCAACTCTTCAATTAAGAAAAAGCTTAAAGTACGGGTTGAGGTTCTGTTGTGTAAAAAAAGGGGCTGAATAGGATTAATTATTTTTAATATTCAAGATATACAAGGTTCTAAAGGAATGAATGGTTTGGTGTTTTATCAATGTTGCATGGTTTAATGTCCTTTATGTGTAGATGTGAGTTGATGATAATTCTCCTATATTGGAAAATTAGTTTTTTCTCATTTTAATTGGTCGTTTAACTATCAAGTTAGCTAAGAACCGAGTGGTTGTTTCCTTGCTTTAGTTTACACATTATGGTTAAAAGGAAGTTGAGATCTTTTTATAACTACAAATTTTATTTCAGATAAATGAATGTTCATAAAATAAAGAAGTAGAAGGGAGAAATGTAACTATGATATGACTTAAAATATTCCTTAGTTGACAACCACGAGTTATTTATGTGTTAAAAAATGACATGACCTTATATGAGAAGTTATATATGGGTCTTTCACCTATCTTTCTAAGTAATAAAAGTAACGCAGTTATCTTTTTTAACCAATAATAGTAATAAATTTATCTTTTTGTCAAATAAAAGAAATATACTTCTCCTTTTAACAAATTACATCAACATACTTATCTTTTTCATCAATTATAGCAACGTACTTATCGTTTTAACCGATAATAGCAAAATAGTAATTTTCTTTAGCCAATAATATCAATTTACTTATATTTTTAACGCATTGACCATGGAAATGAATTGATTTGGATTATAATTTATACGATGGAATCGACATAAAATATGTTTGTATATTATTTTGCTTATTAATGCAACACTGTTTGGAAACACTATCTAATTATAACACCAAGTTTGAAAAGTTTTCACCATCTAAACAACATAAATGTCAATATAAACTACTTTTTGCAATTATATATTCTTATGTTTGTCATTGTGGGTGGTTTTATCTTAACCGATAAGTTGACAATGTTGACTTTCAACTCTACATTGAATAATATTTGAGTTTTTGACTCTTAAATTGACTGTCGTTTTTATTTTATGTTATCTATGGAACACAATTAGATATTATTTCAAGACATGAAAGATAATTAGATAGATTTGTCATGTACATTGCTAATATATGAACAAATGAAAGAAATATATGCTATAAAACCAACTAAAATCAATATAGTGTTTATATATTTGTCAATCTGTACAACGGACAGGTATGACACCTTAAATATGTTTGAATAGAATATCTTAGTTTCTGATTGTATTTAAATGTTAAATATGTTTGAATATAATATCTTAGTTTCGGATTGTATTTAAATGATCATGTGTGAAGTCGATAAACATAATAGAAAAAATAGTTATAAAAGATTTCACCATACAGATCTGAAATATGCTTTAAATATCTCAACTGTTTTATTTTTTTAAAGCAGATTAGTATTCCATAAAGAATATTCTATAATCGTATGATTTCAGGAAAAGATATCAGAAAGACGTAAAGTCAACCAAATCCAATCCAACTAATTTAGCTCACATTTCGAGCTTACCCACGTTGCGGACATGTCCACTTGCAAAACCTATTTTAATTAATTAACTTTCTAATAACAAGAATCAATGCTCTAAGCAATGACGTATACTTTATTTATTTGAATTTCAATCTAATGAAATGGATCAAGTAAGTTCTAGGGTGGAGAAGAAGTCGTCAGAGAAGGCTCCACCTCCTCCGTCCAATTGGTGTTCGGTTCACTCCATGACCGTGGGCGCAGACCAAGCTTAAAGAAAACCACCATTTCCAGCGCCTCAAACACCTTATGCTCATCCAAAAACCTGTTCCAAATCCCACTCACAATGCAGTAATTGTTATTATACGGTTGCCGGTGGTGGTCGGCGTGTTGTGATCGGGATACCAACACTCCGGCGTCTTGCAGCGCCACCACTACTGGCGGCAGCTTGCTCTTAGTTCCATGGGCCCAAGCATGGAACTGTTGGCTAAACATAATACACCCACAAGCCATCCCCACAAACCCCATCACCACCGGTTGATCATGGGCAATCAAATCAATCGGTAGCAGTATATACGTTATAACACGTGCTAACGCGTATAAGTTATTCTCAAACTCACGCTTGGTAATCGTCCATGGCAATTTATGGTGACCCTGAAAAGCATCGATTTGTGAACCAAATACCGGAGTTGATACGTCGCCATAATTATCAATCCCCCAGTGGTATACACCGGACCCAAGGTCTGCAAACAAGTAGCCGACGAATCCAGATAAGATGGGTTCGAGCCATATGTGTGTGTCGATTGATCCGATGATCGAATTGGTTAGGGAAAGGAGTACGGTGGTGCAACCGGTGGCCACCCATGCACGGTGAGTCCAAGTCGATTTGAGGCTTGGGTCGTCGAGTTCGGGTGGTGTTACGTTTATAACAAGTTTTTGGAGTTTCTGCCTATTATTCTTTGGTGGTGTTGTTGCAGTGCAATAGACACGGTGGTGGCGGCTGATCGCAACAGCATGATGGAGGTGGAGGTGGAGGTGATGAGGTAAGATAGACATTACTGGGGTGGTTTAATGTGGGGATGGGGTTTATGTCGATTGGAATGGAAATTAAAGGTGGTTGGGTTGGTGTACGTTGGTTTATGATTGTCGATAAAAAGGTGTCAGTTGTGTGGAGTGTGGACATGTTCAAGGTTATCAAATATATATACATTTCTTGAAAAGGAAAATAGATGATATAAATGGCCAAATGGATCCTAAATGGATAATTTTAATCGAAATTAGCGGTGGCTTCGACGAATCTGCTTATTATTTATTTAGCAAATCTAATTTATTATTTTTTTAACGATTTATTGACAAGAATAAAATTGAAAACTTTTGTTGAAACGAGAACTCGTAAAACAGTTAATTGTTTTTGGAACTTTTTAGATTATATATATATATATATATATATATATATATATATATATATATATATATATATATATATATATATATTTTGTAACACCGTAAATTTTCAAAACAAAATTTTCATTTAAAATCATATAATTCTCATAACACATTTCACAAAAACCTCATTTATTTAATTTACAAATCGCAACTCCATATTTGTTTGATTAAAATCCAGGATCCTCAAAACATAACTCTTTCGCTGGTGTGTACAATCAATCCGGTGCCTTCCCATGCTCCTGAGAAAACCTGAAACACATAACAGATAACACGGTAAGCACAAAGCTTAGTCAGTTCTCCAAAATACCACACATATCTTGGGTGGACCCTCTACTAATCACCACCCATGTGTCTCAGTGGGACCCTCCGGTACCATAACTTGGGTGGACCCTCCCGTCCTAACTCAGCAAGGCATAGCGTAATAACAAAGCATAGCATAATCACGAAGCATAATGCATAATATAGATATCACATAACTCAGCGTGAGCACATATAAACAACATTTACGTTGACTAACATAACAACATAAGTCACAAAGACAGTATGCACAATAACGCATATATCAATATAACAATGAGACCCTGTGGTCAATAATGAGGACCCTCCAGTCCAGTATCTCTATGAAGACCCTCCGGTCACACAGTAACTACTACTCAGATGTATAGTGAGAAGACTCACCTCGACAGCAAGCAATCATCCTCAAACTCGAATCACGAACAAGCCACCGCCTAACACATAGGGTGATTATCTCAATAAATACTCGATTCTCGACTCTAAGTAAACCAAAGGTTATTCTTCCTCTTTCTAACTCTTGAAGTGGATAAAAGACCATTTTACCCCTCCATGGTATCCATTACTCATGTTGACCAAACCCTAAAGTCAACAGAAGTCAAACTCGAGTCAACAGTCCATATTTGACCTGACTCGCCGAGTGCACCCATGTGACTCGTCGAGTCCCATTGTTTCCCTCAGAAGTCTCGTGAAGGTTGACTCAGCTCGTCGAGTTGACTCCCAACTCGTCGAGTTATTGCATGGCCGTGAACATCGGGAAAAACCCTAACTGACCATCGAGTCAGCTCATGGACTCGGCGAGTTTACTCAACCTGGTCACTCATTCAGACGACCAAGGTCAGATCTACCACACTAGACTCTAGATCCAGTCCTTAAAGGTACAGAAATCGCATAAAGTCTCGACCTTTACGTTCATGCATGACATATATGACCAAAAATGCCAAAACAAGTCGTACAAAGGGTTAGGTGCTCAAAGTCTAGTCTCTAGCTCAATAAAGTTCAGGTCCTTGGGCTATCCTTATCCTCCACACTTCAGATCTGAGGTTTCAACCTCAAATCATACACAAAAAGGCTCATTGACTCTAAACAATGGAAGAAAGCCCTAGAAAACTCCCATATCAAGATCTCCATAGAAGATGAGCAAATCAATATCTTTACCTCAAGAAAACTCTGCTGAATCTGAAGATCCAAAGTCTCCTCTTGCTCCAACCTCAATACTCTTCACTTCTCCTTCAAAGAATGCACCCACAATCACTAATTTAGCTCTTATCTCCCTCTCTAGCTCTAATGGCGATTAGGGTTTGCTCTCAGGGGTGTAGGGTGACTGGTGGGGGTGGAAATGGGGGAATAAGTTCCCTTATATAGGCCCCAACCCCGGGAAATTAGGGTTTCTTTGCCCAGTACCTACTCGGCGAGTCAGTCCTATGACTCGTCGAGTCCACTCATTAAATCCATGCGAGCCACTCGACTCGACTCGACTCGGCGAGTTGGACCCTCAACTCGTCGAGTCTCTCCATAAATCTCAAAACTAAAATTCACAATAATATACCTGAAAATCTGGATGTTACAATTCTCTCCCAATTGAATTTGATTTCGCCCTCGAAATCGCCTCTCAACAACACATAGATCGAACCCAATAAACCGAAAAGCACCACTGAAAGGATCTCATACCACTCAGATATCTTTCCCCATGGACACCTGAATCCAAACAGGAACTTCCAAACCCGAAATAAGACAGAACTTTATGTTGCTATGATACCCCTTCTGACTCTCCAGACTCTGAAAACTCTAGTGGCCTGTCTCACTGCCAGACCGCCCTCTCAAGATATTACCATGTTATTCTCTCCTCGAATGACAGACCCCAATAACTCATTGCCCCTCTGATTCTTTCGTTGCGACTGATAAAACAAGTCAATGCCCAAAAATTGGCCACCGAACACTTATATCAGATATATTAAACGATCCAGATCCCACTCCAGGGAATGAAAGGATCACATCTCACCAGGGAGCTCACCAACTGCAATCAAAACCCATCTGAACAGTGAACTCTCAACACCCTGTCCTCAGACACAAGAAAATGGTCATGCTTGCTCAGAAGTGTCCGCTGACATCTAACATTCATAAGCCCCTACTCCCTTCTCAAATATCCCTTTCAACACTGAGTACCAGGTCAATCCCCGACCCCACAGTTGCACCTCCAAAGGTTACCCATTGCATACCAAAAAACGTCTCATTGACTCCCTTCTCACACTAACTATCTCGGCCCGGTGTGACACACAAGTCACGAAGTTCGCTTTACCCCAAGCGAATACTACAACCCCAACTGAAATCTTCTCAACCTCAACCTCCGTCGTCTAATGCTCATTAGCTCCATACGTCTCGCAGTCATTTACATACAACGAACTAACCCACACAGGTCTAAGACATCAGATGGCACACAATACCCCTCAATGGAATCCACCTCTAAGTCCGGAATCTCATCTTGACTTCTCAATACACCACTAAAGCCAACTCAGACTCGAGAGTCTGGCCCAACGCGGAATTGGAACCACTCGTCCCAATGAAGCACTCAACTCATAACCCATGACTCGCAACTTTCGCGTACATCACTTCTCCAATTCCTTCTGATTGCGATAACCACACCTTAACTCAGAATACGGCGAATCCCGTCCATTAGGGAGACCCCAGTCTCGCCCCTGGCCCGACCACCAGGTTCCCACAGACTCAAATGATAAGGCTACCCAAGCCTAGGAACTTCTCTGTGTCATGCTCTGACTAGTGAAAAGTACAGTTCTCCGCAGAACATTTTTCACTCATATCGACTATTGAGCGCTACGACTCCTTCTCGTAATATCACGACACTCTCTCGCTAACCAGTGAGTACTACGACTCCCCGCATTATCACAGTAGTCTCCCACTCTTTAGTGAATACTACGGCTCCCCGCAGTATCACGACACTCTTTTGCTGACTAGTGAGTACTACGGCTCCCCGTAGTATCACAACACTCTTACTAACTCATGTATGCTACGGCTCCCCGTAGTCTTACTACACTCTCTCGTTCACTGACTCACCATGGGCTCACTCCATGTCCTTTCCTGATAATCCCAAGCGATTTCTCCTACTTGAATCCACTTGCCTTCTTATCACCCCATAATCTCATCATCAAGTCATTACTATACTGAGTTTACCAACTCATACTCCGCAACTCAACCTAGATATGCACACACACCCATCCAAAAATAATCATCACTACTCCTGACGGCAATCGCCATGACAAATCCCCTTTTTTTCGTTGCAATTCACATTCTTAAATAATCTCACCTGTCGTCAATTAGTCGAAGGGCTCCCACTGGAACCATAGATACTTGATACACCACTTGCCACTTCTTAACTCAAGACTCAAAATAATCCAAAATTTAGGACATCATACTCGGATACTTTGGTACACCATCACAGAACCTCACGATGTCTTGCCTCAACCACTGATCTCATACTAACAGCATCATACTCAGATGTCGCATTGCCCCCTCAGAATCTCACAACCGATCTTCCTCTCGCACCACTTGTAACCTCAGAACATTCCATTTCTCAAATTGAAACATAAAGGCATCGTTAATGACTCAAAACACGTTGATGAAAATCCGAAGCTCCACCCTCTACTGATCACCACCCATGTGAAAGTACTCATACCGAATCTGAAATTGGTTAACAAATAAACTGCTGTCACTCCCGGAGTATAGATCATAATTTATACGTATATCTGCAAATCACTGCTATTGCGCCCTGAATTCAGTGACCCAACCGCACTTGAGCTCAACATATGTAAACCCGAAAAATCCCTAGCCACAATACATTCTCTGACCAACGGCCACTTGCCGTGGATTCACTCATCCTTTCTTAAACACATACTCATACATCTTCCCGTCTGTCACCTTGCTTCATTCACCAATAACCCAGGTCTCATGTGTCCACACCGCAGATCTCCATAACCATTTCTCTACCTCATTTGAACGGATCACTGATCCCTTTACTAGAATACCCAGTTCTCCCCCACTTAGGGTCCGAACCATCACCAATTGGCATACCCACAATCTACTCCATAGACTGTTTCACCAGGTATATCACACTTGACTCTTGAAGTGTACTACGCAATCACTCAAGGACCTTCCCGATGGAACCAAAAAATCTCCAAATATCTTGTCTCTGACCAAAAATCTCGGAATCCTCCCAACGTGACTGCCTCTAGCATCTCGAAGCCTCAGACCGGCACACCGCCGGGTACCCCATTGTTCCGAGTTAGATCTGACTCTCGGTTCGG